TGATTATTTATTATTGTTTTTATTATAGTTGTTTTTTTTTTTCTTTTTAAAATATATTTTATTGAATTTTTACAGAGAGGAAGAGAGAGGGACAGAGAGTTAGAAACATCAATGAGAGAGAATCATCAATCAGCTGCCTCTTGCACACCCCCTACTGGGGATGTGCCTGCAACCAAGGTACACGTCCCGGACTGGAATCGAACCTGGGACCCCTCAGTCCACAGGCCAACACTCTATCCGCTGAGCCAAACCGGTTTTGGCTTATTATAGTTGTTTTCTATGGATGTTGGATTATTTTGTTGTTGTTGTTGTTCATGATAATGTGAAGCATTTTCCTGGATCAGGAGTAACAGACAGTACAATGGAAGGACTGAAGGTTTTGGGTGACTTATAAGTTGTTTTGAATGATGCTGTGCTATGATTAATACAGTGAGGTAGAGTTTCTTTAATAAATGGAAAACTTCATGGGAAAAGCTAGATCTATTTTTAAATTCTTTGATGCCGTCTATTTTTATAGAGCCCTGAGCTTTACTGTCTTTCTAGTTTTCTTTTACCACCAGTGCCATCAGTGGACATTTAACTTTGTCAAGTATATCTCTTTCCTAGAGTGTAGGTCCTTTTTAAAAAAAAAAAATTCCTTGTTATGGTTTTAGTTGGATTCTGGTTGGGGATGAAAGTAGATGTTCATGTTCAAAATGCCAGCCTGATATGTAATCATGTTAGTTTATTCCATGTGTAATTTTTAAATTTAATTTTAATGACAGTTTTATTTTATAGCAAATACAGTCTTCTTTTGTAGAGCTCTACTTAGGAGATTATTTGAAGAAGTATTGTAGTTTTTTGAAAAATAATATATTAGGATATTTGTTTTGATTCCATCTGTTTAGAACTTATTAGCCAATTAAGAAACTTGACAAATTGGTTCTTGAGGGCAGTAATTCATTTTATGTAAGAGTGTTATGGTGATTCTTCCTATTTTGTAGATATTGAAGGCATTTATCTGGTATAATAAGACATACTGCTGTCCATTTATTGCTTATATATTGTGTGTTCTAGAGTGCCACATTTTTTATCAAACGTTTCTTTGCTTATAATATATCTCCATATTGGCTTTGGCACTCTAGAGACTTCTAGAGTGATTTATCAGAAAAATATGTATTTGAGAAATGAGGAACAAATAGACATCTTAAAGTTTAATATAGTTTCTTTGACTTTTTTTTTTTTTGTCATTGTCTGGTCAGGATAGGAATCTTGTTATTCTGATCTGTTACTTCTTAATGGAGATCCTTCAAATATATAATTAAAGTTATTTAAAGTAAATGGGGTTTGTTCATATGTGTAAGACATGAGTTTTACTCAAAGTTGTGTAAAGTAATTCTCATGACAACTAAGAGATCAGCAGCTTAATTCATTTTAATCTGTGATTTCACAGTCCTTTATAACAGCCTTTAATAATGTTGTTTTGCCCATTATTTTTTTAAAAATACATTTTTATTGATTCATAGAGGAAGAGAGAGGAAGAACGAGATAGAAACATCAATGATGAGAGAGAATCATCAATTGGCTGCCTCCTGCAAACTCCATATTGGGGATCAAGCTGCAACCTGGGCATGCGCCCTGGCCTGGAATCAAACCTTGACCTCCTGGTTCATGGGTTGACACTCAATCACAGACCATACCAGCCGGACATGTTTTTTTTTTTTTCCCCCCTCATGTATTCTTTTTTTCTTGTAGCCTATAAGTAAGATTAAGAGACCTACAATATCAGGATTAAAATAATAAACATTAACACATCAGGATAATGATATTTTAAAACATTACTTTTTTTAAGGTATAAAACTTTTTACTTCTTTTATATCGTAGATGACCTAACTTATAAATCTGCCATTGCTATCATAGTTTATTGAGCCACACCAGCAACATTTTAAGGAGAATATCTGAGAATATCATACATGGGTTACTTGTATGAAGATATATAGTGAATAATGAGCAAGGTGTTTTTGGAGAATGGCAAGCATTTGCTTTCTACAGTGGAATCTGTGTTAGGGAAAACTATAAGATCAGTTTGGGGATAATTTATTATTTAATGAATTGGGTAAGTTGAGAAGATTAAAGATTGGGAAAGTTGTTGCTATAGGGAGGAAGGCCTCTAATGCAATGTCAAGTTTTGCTATGATGGTGATAGAGTGATTATATGTTTGTGAGATAGTGCCAGATTAGGCCTGTTTTTCTTATGTTTCAGTGCCCTATTTAACTAAAAAAAAAAAAATTAAAAAAAAGCCCTTTTATTCTCCAAAGGCTTGGATAATAGGTGATACCATTTTCCTGTTAATAGTAAAGTAGTGAAGATCATATATTTGGTTGCTGGTGGTTTTCCTGTAGAGAAGACATGGATTATTAGTATTTACCTTCATATACAAAAGAAAAACGATATTGAAAATTGAAACAAGCAGTCTTTGTGCCAACCTTATGATTTTAAAAGTCTGTGAAAGTCAGAATGCTGCTCATTATTAGATTAGCTATGGTATGAGGGAAACATATTTCATATGCTCCTGATTCAGATTTTACTCATTGATTTAGGTTAGCACAGTCCTCAGTAACTTCTTTCTCTGTGGCTGCTTCCTCCCAAATCACTTGTCTGCTATCTCACAGTTCAGTCAGTACTATCTCCTTTTTGTAGACAAGGAAACAGATGCCCGGAGAGGAAATAATTTGCTTGAGGACACCATTATATGAAGAGTTATTTTTTTTAACACAACACTTCTATAACTTTAGATATATTAATAGAAGATGTACTTCATTTTTAAGGTACACTAAAAATGTGATTTCACTATAATCTATTTCATCTATAATCCATAAATGGTTGCACATTTTGTCCAACAGTAGGGTTTTTTTTTTTTTTTTTTTTTTTTTTTTTATAAGAAAAGTGGTTATATTAGCCGAAACCGGTTTGGCTCAATGGATAGAGTGTCGGCTTGGGGACTGAAGGGTCCAGGGTTCGATTCCGGTCAAGGGCATGTACCTTGGTTGTGGGCATATCCCCAGTAGGGGGTGTGCAAGAGGCAGCTGATCGATGACTCTCTCTCATCCATGTTTCTATCTCTCTCCCTAACTGTACAAAATAAAATATATATATATTTTTAAAAAGTGGTTATATTAAAGATTTTTTTTTTTAAAGAAGCTCTGCGAGTTTTGTTTTTAGAATTTAAAATAAATTTGATGGAAGTTTTCCTTTTAGGCATCATCTGTTGAATCGATGGAGCCATCACTCAAGTAGTTGTGAAAATCTCCATCTCTTCAAAATGTAATGTGTTTGGGGGTTTTTCCCTGAATACTTTTAAGATTTCTCTTTACTTTGTGATTTATCAGTTTGACTATGGTTTTACTAGTCTTGGTCTTCATATTTATATTGTAGTTAACTGAACTCATAGAATCTATACAATTGTCTTTCATTAAATTTGGGGAAATTTTGACCACTAATTAAAAATTTTGCTTTCTTTCTCATTATTTTCTCTATTTCTGGGTTTAAATAAACATGTTTGACACATTAAAAATATTATCACACAGATTCCAGAGGATCTGTTTTTCTTTTCTTATTAGCAACTTCTTCTTAGTTCTTCAGATTGGATAATTTCAATTGATTTATTTTTTAAGTGCATAGATTATTTTTTTTTGTTTTTTGTTGTTACCAATGTGCTTTAAAACTCATTGAGCATAATTATAATTTCAGATAGTGTGTGTTTTTAGTTATAGAACTATGTTTTTTAGCTTTATATTCATTACAAGCATGGTTATTTTTACTACTTTAAAATCTTTGCTTGCTATTTCCAACATCTAGTTCATTTCAGGGTTGGTCTCTATTGACTATTTTCTTGATAATGGATCCAACTTTTAATGTTTTGTCATATAGTTAGTAATTTTGGATTTAATTCTGGATATGGTGAATTTCATGTTTTGAATACTCTGGATTCTATTATATTCCTTTGAAGATTACTGATTTTTTTTTTTCTTGTTAGTTTTAGCAGAAAATTAACTTAGTTAAATTAAAATTGAAAAAATCTTGTCTCTAGGAGGGCAGTTGAAATTTTAGTTCAATTTTATTTTATCTTTGGCTGTTTGGAGTACGCACAATGTAGGGTTCAGCCAGAGATTTGAATAGAGTTTACATACAGAATTTTAGCTACCTCCTCTGACAGCTTTCCAAAATTACCCTTTTGTTTTCCTTTTACGGTGGTTGCCCTGCACCTTTCTTCTAGTTTTTCAGGCCAGGAGTTTTGTTGTTGGCGTTATAGCTGCCCTGCATGGCATAGACTCGGGCTTGTCTTCAGAAAAGAAGCAGATAAAATGGGAAATTTTCTCATTGCTGTTTTTGTTTTCCAAGTTTTGGCCCTCTATAGAATCTGTCTCCTTTTGGTCACTGTCTAATACCTTGAAATAGCTCATTTTTATAGTTATCTGTAAGATCATCAGTCTGGTACAGGCTTTTTTACCACTACTGTGAGGCAGCACCTGAATTTTTTTTACTTTTCAAAAGGACACCGTATATCCTACCAAATACTGTTATTCATTTAATACAAAGAATGGCTAGATTAGAGTACAGGCAGTTGTATTGTAATGATTAGAAATAATAAATAAGGTTGACTTTATTAAGAAGCAGAGATTGTAGGCATAGGGAAGACTCTATCCTTGGATACTAGATTAGATATATTTAGATATGTTATATTATCTGAGGAGACTTGAGTAATCAAGACTTGATTTGAATTTTTAAAACTTTAACTTGCAAACACTTTTTGACTAAACTTTAATTTCCTGTAAAGTTGACAACAAATATATCCCTCATGTATCATTTTAACTGAGAGTGCTTATTTATAAATAATCATACTCAGATGCTTGTTTCACAGAATTAAACTAAATCCTTTTCTTTCAGATAATTTTAAAGGATATTTTCTTTTCGTTATACAAGGTATGCACTAAATGTATTTCATATCTATTCTCTGTAGGTCCAGGTCAAGACCTCGTCCACGTTCCCATAGTCGAAGCAGTGAAAGGTCCAGTCACAGAAGAACCCGGAGTCGATCTCGGGACAGAGAACGACGTAAAGGCAGAGATAAGGAGAAAAGAGAAAAGGAGAAGGATAAAGGCAAGGACAAGGAATTACACAACATCAAACGTGGGTAAGTTGATAATTCCAAGAACATTAACCAAATCTTAAGCAGAGTTAACTCAGTGATTCTGTGGCAGTGTTCAAACTAATTTCATTCTTGGAGGTTTTTCTTGGGTGGAAAAAAGAGGTGAATATAATACAGAACGAAGAAGGAGTAAACCAAAATAGTTATCTTAATTTTTTACTGTGTTTTTTATTCCCATTTTTATTTACTTATATAACAAGTCTTAGACACACAAAATAAATAGCGCTATCAAAGCTTAGTATCTCAGTAAAGGAAAGTTTGCAGAATTCTTTAGAAAAGTTCTACATTCAATTTTACTTATAAATATGAATTTAAAATTTGAAGACTACTGAATGATTTACTATTGGTTAGGTCTCTTTCAGTATAGAATGCGGACTTGGTCAATATTAAGGTGTATATGTATGTTATAGTGTCTGTGCCTACAGGACCTGGGATTTATTTTTTCTGTAATTGATATTATTGAAACAGTTACTCTAGCTCTGTCCATTTGGAGGGCGAAATTCACTCATAACTGTTTATTAAATTAGAAGCTGTTAAAATGAAATAGTAAGTTTGGGTTAATAGCTTTTTATTTGTTTTACTCAAAACTGACATTGATATCTCTTATTCTATGAAGTAAAACATCTTGGAATTTATCCCCATTTGTCAGTCTTTCAAAACCTTACATATATTCACTTTAATACTTAAATAAAAAGTGTTTATTTTTTATGTATCAATCAGATTTTAGTGTTAAGTTGAAGAGCTTACAAGGATCTTAGATATGGCTTTTTTGAGACCTTGATTCTATGGAGAATTAAGTTTATTAAAGGATATAGAACTCTTCTCTAATCCTTTCCTTTTTTCAGTTGTCTGTTTATTTTTCATTTCCAGATTTACAGTGATATTATATAAACCTCCCTAGATTGTTCACTTTTAAGTGTTTGTTGAAATAATAAATTTGTAGTGGATTTTGGAATAGAATAACATTATTATGTTACTTTCTTTCTCATGATTACCCCACAGATATTATTACAAACTAAGTAGTAGTGATCATGAAAAATTCTGAGTTCTGTTCTTTTCTAATTTTAAATGTTATAGGTAAGAGGATATAGTGTTAGATATCTGGCTATGAGAATAGGGAAGCTGAGTTAGCCAGAGTTGGTAGAATGGAATGAGGCTCAGAGAGAGTGTGAAGGGAAACTTGGGAAGATGATAGATTTGAAGAGAGGATGTAGAATAGGTTTCTGAGATGGAAAAATATGGACTAAAAGAATGAATAAATTATTCAATGAAGGAACTGCCTTACTTCTTGTTCCTTTTTTCCCTTTTGGTTTATACTTTAGATACTACATAACTATGAGAAATATGACTATTCTTTTTAGTACTCATTAAGTTTTTGCTTTTTAATCTCACTAACTTTTAATTTTTTAGAGTAATATTTACACAGTTGTATAAAATTGATATTATATAAAGCATTATTTTGTGAATTTTAAAGATAAGAAAAATTAGCGTGTGAATAAAACATAGAGGTCAGGTGGTTTCAGGAAAGGTTCTCATATGGTAGGGTCTGGGCCAGACTTACAGGTTAGACTCTTATTTCATTTAGTGTTGAGGTGTTCAAGGGACTCATTCCTGGGTAAAAGTTTTGCAAGCCCATACTGTATTTGTCATTACTTCTTACTCAGCAAAGGGAGTGAACAAAGACCAAACAAGAGGGGCCAGTTGAAGGGCCCTGGGTACTGACACCAAAACGCTGTGAGTAGCCTGATTCGGTCATCTCCATGATTTTAGTAGACCATAGTAGTACAAGGTGGTGCAATGCCGGGATGCCCTGTCTCCTAGTTAGTGCTAAGAACACACATATCCTTACATTTTGGTGTATCCTGAAATCAGGTGTTCTGTTTTTGTTTTTTTTTGTGGGGGTGTGTGTGTGTCAGTGTATACATTTAATATGGTAATATGCATATATGTACAGATATACCCTCCTTTGTTCCAAAAATGATTTATCTTTTTTTAAAAAGTATGTGTTTGTTTTCTAAATCTGCGATTTAAGCTGTTCAGGGTAGAGAATGTCTTATATTCTTGTATTACTCATAGTACCTAATGTACATGTTAGTTGATAAGAAATATTTACAGACAGTCCTTAGGTTACATCGGATTCTATATAGTATGTCATTTCATGGTTACATCACCATCTTCCATTTACAGAATCTATAAAAAAAAATGTTCCATCATTTCGACGTATGTACATATGTGCTTTTTGTTTTTTATTATTTATTTACCACAAGTGAAGGTCTTTTAATTTTTTTTTTTTTACTGTTTCACTTCATTGCTGCTGTGTATGTGCTCTATGTGAGTGATGTAGGTGCTTATGTAGGTGGGTTCTGACTTACAGTGAAAATGGAGTTTCGTCGTGCTATAGGATCGGATCTCCGACATAACCCAAGGACCTACTGTATTGGTGATTGGTCAGATATGCTCATTCATTCATTTGTTCATTTGTTAAGTCAATAGTATTTAAATGTCTTCTTTTTGTCAAGTACTGTTAGGGAATAAGGCTGTGTAATGGTAGGGGATTTCATGCAGGTCCATAGTAAGCATATATAGAAGGGAAGATATATAAGTAATCACAGTAACATCATATGAGCTAGAATGCTTTGGTCATAACGAACAAAACCAGGGACAGCAACATTTTTTTCTAGATAGTAAATAATTTAGGTTTTCTAGGCCATATGTGTTTATTGCAGCTATTGAATTCTGCCCTTCCAGCACAAAAGCAGCTATGGATAATACGAAATGAACAGCATGGCTGTGTTCCAGTAAAACCTAAAAGAGATAGTTGGCAAGATTTGGCCCAAGGATTGTAGTTTGTCAACATCTAGTTTAAGCCATAAGCACACTTGTTGCTAATATAACAAATAGTTTGGAGGTGAGCAGACCAAGGCCCATTTTATCCTTCCAACAGGCCAGTCTTAGCATATTGGCTTTCATCTTCAGTTGTTTTGTTTTTTTTCTCTCTTTTCAAAATTTTTTTCCTTCTTTGTCTTTTTTTGTTTCCTTCTTATTTCTTCATCTTCAGTTTTGACACATTCCAGTTGAAAGATATTTCTACGAACATTAGGTAAATTGGTTGATTTGGAGTAGTCAACATGTTAGGGAGTGGCTCTCAAAAGAAGAGGAAGAAAGAGATGGGAACGAATGTTGCATGCAAAACAAAAGACTTGGAAGCAAGCAAGATAGATAATTGAGGAACTAAAGTCTTATAGAGCTTGGTTTAGAGTAGGAAAGAAATAATGATGAGAGACGATTACTAGAATACCTTATAAGTTATGTCAAGGAGTTTAGAGTTAATTCTAAAGGCAATGAGAAGCCAGTGAAGTTTCAAATAGAGTGATGATATGATCATTACTACATGAAATATGAACAAAATGCTTGACTTACAGAGGATATTATAGTAAGCATCTAACATTTATTATTCCCATAATAAGGTTTTACTGGAACACAGCCATGCTGTTCATTTCGTATTATCCATTAGCTTTTCAGTAGATGGATACTGTCCTCAGAAATGTACCCACTAAGACTTCTAGAATATTTTGTTCAGACAGTTGAGTTGTTTCTCCTCCTCCTCCTCCTCCTCCTCCTCCTCCTCCTCCTCCTCCTCCTTCTTCTTCTTCTTCTTCTTCTTCTTTTTCTTCTTCGTTCAGACAGTTGAGTTTATACTTTTCTTCTTCTTCTTCTTCTTCTTTTTTTTTTTACAGAGATGAAGGGGAGAGGGATTGAGAGTTAGAAACATCGATGAGAGAGAAACATCCATCAGCTGCCTCCTGCACACCCCCCACTGGGGATGTGCCAGCAACCAAGGTACATGCCCTTAACCGGAATCGAACCCGGGACCTTCCAGTCCTCAGGCTGACGCTCAATCCACTGAGCCAAACCGGTTCCGGCTATACTTTTCTTCTTTACATAACTTTCTGAAGCCTTAGAACTTTAGAGAGAGGTAAAAATTTCACCCCGTACATACATATCAAAGCTGACAACGGAAGTAGTTCTTTTCAGTGGGTTTTGGAAGGGGGAATATATTTAAATAGAATTTCTTTTTAAAAATATATTTTTTTTTATTGATTTCAGAGAGGAAGGAAGAGGAAAGAGTGCTATAAACATCAGTGATGAGAGAGAATCATTGATTGGCTGCCTTCTGCACACCTCCGTAACCTTGACATGGCCCTTGACTGGAATCAAATCTAGGACCCTTCAGTCTGCAGGCTGACACTCTATCCACTGAGCCAAACTGGCTAAAGCTAAATAGAATTTTTTGTACTGAAAATTGACTTCCAATAAATCATTTGACTTTTAATCTTTCTGAGAATATGTATTAAAGCCCCTGGGATAGCGGTGAAGTTGGGCTTCAGTTACCTATTTATAAAATCTTTCATTAAAAAATTGACTATTCAATGCAATTAGATATTAAGTATATCATAACTATTTTAGGTATTTCTTTATAGACTAAAAATGCAGAAAACACACCAATGGAGGCAATATATGCTTTTGTTCATAGGAATTTCTATCTTTGAATATGTAGCTGTTTTGAGTAGCATATCTTTTTAAAGTGTGCTACGGTTGTTTACATCTTGGTAAAGTTAAATTGAAAAAAAATTACAATTTTTGCTCATTCTGAGTCATTCATAACTTTTTTCCTTATAAGACAAGTTATTCTTTTGAGTCTTAATTTATTCTTCTGTTAAATGGGGATAACAATATTTCCAAAGCAATAAGTGTTTAAAGCAGTGTATAAAAGAAGTCAAGTACCATATAGTAATCATACTTTATAGATATGTTAGTTATGGCTTTGACCTTGGCAATGTTCCAGTGTCTTCAATTGTAGCATTTCATGTAATAAATTCCTGTTGATGAGGTTTTTCTTACCAAGTGCTTGGCAGAAGATGTTGTGATTTGGGAATGCTGGACCCTTGAGCTTTGACAGTAGTTACATACTCCTGTCATATTTT